GGCTGTCAACTCAGCATTCATTTCCTCTTCATCTTCTGCCCTTTCAGTCAGCTCCTTAATTTTAGCTTCCAGTTGGATTTTAGTTTTGATCAGCTGGTCACATCTCTCCTCAGCATCTGCCAAGCCATCAGCTTCCTAGAAAATGAAAAGGTATGTCATAGAACAGTAAGATTCTTTTCTGACTGAAAGATTATGAAGACAGAACTCAGTTGTGTGCTACCATTTATTTCAGTAGAGGGAACCAATTTACTTACATCAGTGAACATGTGCTTAGATAGCTCCTCTTACTGAAATTAATTGGTGATGTATTTAATTTAAGGGTAATGTTCAGTTTTCTTACACAGTAGTTGCATTTATTGCAACAATATATTACATTCATCAGTACATTATGTATGTGGATATGAATAAATTATATAAAAATGTCATATATTTATTACATAAAAAGTAAAAGTAGCTGTGTTTGTCATAAATTCCAAAATCTGTATTACAATAAAACCTTTAATTGATCAGCTAATGGGCATAAACTGTGTGCAACCTTTTTGTGGCCATTTGGTTGGCACAATAAATGTATTACCCAAATATGTCTCAGTATATTTTCACCAATATTGATATGAAGCGGTATTTAAATGAAGCTTCTTTGCTTTGCTATGAGGGCAGTCTAATTAAGGCCAAATAAATGTGGAGAAATTTCCTATGCAGTGTTTACATTCTCAGACCAAACAAAATCACACATAGAGGTCATATAGCAAAAATCTATAATGTTACCAAATATGCTTACAGATTGGACTTGGAGCTGCAAGTCATTCTTCTCTTGCATCAGGGCCACCATTTTTTCTTCAAGTTCTTTCACTTTTGCCCCTGCCTTTGCAAGCTCTTCTTTTGTTTTCTCAAACTCTTCTTTCATAGTGGCCATCTCCTTCTCAGACTCAGCACTCTTCAGCAGAGGCTTGATCTTGAAGTATAGCTTCATCCATGGCCAGTGTTTGACATTCATGAATGAGCGGACATTGTACTGAATACAGAAGATGGACTCTCTGCAAATGTAGCAAAAGAAAATTTCTTTAAGAATAAATGAGGTGTAATCAGAATTTCTTCAATCTACTGAATTCCTTTTATGACTCTACTAAATGATCTGAACCCTTATGTTAACTACTATATTCTGTTATTTAAAAGATAAATGGTTGTACAATGATACACTTGAAAAGAAAAGGCTTTATATGAGGGAAAAGGTCAAATAAAGCATCCATAAGTAACACTATTTTCTGAAGTAGCTCAAATTTTACTTCACATTCTTGACATAGATGTCACCACATAGAGTGATACATTCCATCATAGTGTCATAGTAATATAAAAGGAATTGATGTTGGCAGACTTATCAGAAACTTATTTTATAGCACTTCACACTTCTAAAACATTTCATGTGTATGCATGAAATGCGGTGTTGATGTAAACAATGTATGATTTCTACTGTAGTAGGCAAGTACATGTCCCAAGGATCTGGGATTAGCCATGGCTACCAGCCACTTGTGCCCATGTCCACAGAATATGTGGAATAACCTTAAATGTATTTTATATCATAGTCACTTGTATCTGTAAGTGTGATCATGAGTCCTATTAGAAATTATAAAACTCTACCTCCGTTCCATCATCTTTTGGAACTCCACTCTTGCTAAGAAGCCACGGCACCTAGCTTGGGTACGTGTAATCAACTCTGCCAGCTTATCATCTCTCATCTCCTCTAGAGTACCCAGAAGCCCAGCTTTGAAGAACACCTGGAAAAATGAAATCTAATAAAGTACTGGCCACTCACGCAACAAATCCAAATGCCACATTATTTT